CCTTTCCACACCTCTCCGGGCCCTCCTCCATCCCAAAACCTCAGCCGGACAGAGAGGAGTGCATCCCCCTTTCCACACCTCTCCGGGCCCTCCTCTATCCCAAAACCTCAGCAGGACGGAGCAGGCCGGGAGCTGCTGCCGGTGGGGGCAGCGAGCAGCCTCAGCTCAGCAGCTATTCCCTGACCTCGGCAGGGAACATTCCTGGCCTGCAGAGCAGCGGGAAGCTTCAATCCTGGAATTGCTTCCCATGGCAGGGCTCTGCAGGGCAGTGATGGGAATGCTGCTCTGGAAGGGCTCTGCAGGCTCCATCCAGGGCAGGATTGGGAATGCTGCTCTGGAAGGGCAGGATGATGATGGCTCCTCTTCTGGGAGAAGGTTAAACCTTCTGAGCACATCAGAAAAACGCAGGAATTTTGGTGCTGGATGAAGGTTTCATCTCAGCTTTGGCTGTGGACAAAAGATCCCAGCCACACTTGGCCTTGCTGTGAGAATTTTGTCGGGAATTTTGCTCCTGCTGGGATGAGGGAATCTAAACCTGCTCTCTGCAGGTCCTGACAAACCGAGCCCTGCCAGGGGCTGGATGGAGCAGGACCAGGCTTGGCTCCAGCCAGCAGCTGCTTTGCGGGGAAAGCACAAAACCGTGAGCAGGAGTCGGGATCAGAGGAGAGGAAAGGCTCAGAAACAGCTTTGGAAGAGCAGGAAGAGGCTGCAGCTCCCCACAGGCACTGCAGGTGTAAATATCCCGTTTTCCCTCCCTGCCAGGCGTCCCCCAGAGCCCTCCCCAGCCCTCTCCGGGCGGGCACTGCACGTACTGGTCTTCCAGGCATCCGGAGCCTGCAGGTCAGATGTCTTCACGGCCCAGGAGGCGAAGGCGCAGAAGACGAGGCACATGTCCTTGTGGCTCAGCACCCGGGGCTCCTCTGCTGCTCCTGCCACGAGAGGAGCACGAGCTCGGGGCTCTGTGCCACCCCTGCCACCCCTCTGAGAGAGGAGCACGAGCTCGGGGGCTCTGTGCCACCCCTGCCACCCCTGCCACCCCTCTATGAGAGGAGCACGAGCTCGGGGCTCTGTGCCACCCCTGCCACCCCTCTGAGAGAGGAGCACGAGCTCGGGGGCTCTGTGCCACCCCTGCCACCCCTCTGAGAGAGGAGCACGAGCTCGGGGGCTCTGTGCCACCCCTGCCACCCCTCTGAGAGAGGAGCACAAGCTCGGGGCTCTGTGCCACCCCTGCCACCCCTCCCTCCACACAGCAAATCCCCGGGGAATCACCCCTGAAGGTGCTTTGGCACCAGAGGTGGCACTGGAGGGGTCCGTTCAGGCTCTGTGCAATCCCAAAGGACGGTGGCACATTTGTCACCCCCTCAGGCCTGCTCTTGGTTAAAAACCCCAAGGAAATGTTTGTCAAACCACCCCAGGCTGCCTCGCCGCCTTCCTGCAGGTCTCCCCAGCCCGCTGTGGTGGCTGGAATTGGGTCTGGGGATATTTGGGACAGAGCAATTGCTGGGGCCACAGGCGAGGTCCCTTCCTGTCACCCGTGTCCCCGGGCACCCCCAGCTCCAGGACAGCACCCGAGAGTGCTCAGCACCCTGCGGGCATCCCACCCCTCTCCTGCCTCCCCCCAGGATGAAGAGATCTCTGCATTCCCTGCTCCAGCCTGCAACAGCTGGAGACCAGGTTCCTTTGGCTCCTATTCATTTGATCAGGCTTTTAATTAAAGCTGGCTTATTAATTAGCCGTGACCACCTCAAAGGGGTTTTTCTCCGTGCAAACAGACTGGAAGCTCGACGTTGAGGCTCCCTGTGGGACGGCTCCCTCATTGTTTGGGTTTAATATTAACTCTGAGGCTCCGAGCATCTTTGAAGCTCACAGACAACCCCCTGCCTGTCCTGGTGGATCAAACCTCCCCTTTATTCCCATTTCTCCCACCCGCCCCGGGAACAGGCAATGTTCAGGTGACTTCTGAGGTCTCCAGGGGATGTTTTTCTGCTCAGGGTGGGTTTTACAGTCCCACATTCCCTGCCCATGTGGGGGACCTGGCCAGGAGCACTGGCTTGGCACGGGACAGAGAGGAGCATCCCAAGGGAGAAGCCCGGGGGACAGAGGGAGCACCCAAAGGACAGCCAGGGGGACACAGCCTGGGACGTGTCCCTGCGGGGGACACAGCATTTACCTCTCAGTGCCACGGCCCCATCTGCATCTTCTGGCCACACCTGGGCTCCTCCCAGCGGGACCAGGGCGAGCTCCTCTCCGCATCTCCTGGGCACCAGGGCCTGGGAGGTCGAGGCTTGGCCTCCTCCCAGCTGGACCTGCCTCTGCAGCAGGGAGCTCAAAGCCCTCACAGCTTTCTTCACCTCGGAGGCCGGAGCCGCGGAGAAAATCCCTCTCCAGCCCATCCTGTTGGGGGCTGTCTCTGGGAGGAAGTGTTCGTACACGTCGGGGACTGAGAGAACCACGGTGTCCTCGCCTGGAGCGGAGCTGCGAGCCTCCTTGTGCAGCCCGGGGCGCTCCAGGCCTCTCAGCTTCTTCCTTTTCCTGTCTTTAGCTTTGCCTCTTTTCCTGCTTCCTTCTGGCTCGGTGAAAAAATACTCGTAGAGTTCTGGCCAGGAGATGTCCCCCTGCAAGGGGGATTTGCGGCCCTCCAGGGAGCTGCCCAGCTCCTCCTCCTCCTGGGAATCGCAGAACAGGTACTCGTACATCTCGGGCCAGGTCACATCCAGGCAGCTGGGCTTGCCAGGGGCCCCGGCAGCAAAGCCCAGCGGGCTCACGGCCCTGGGCAGCTCAGCCACAGCTTCCCAAGGGATCCCGGCCCCAGGAACCGTGGGGATCCCGGCCCCAGGAACCGCGGGGATCCCAACTGCAGGAACCGTGGGGATCCCAACTGCAGGAACCGTGGGGATCCTGGCCCCAGGAACTGTGGGGATCCCACCTAAAGGCTCACACGGGATCTCAATGGCAGGGATCCTGGGGATCTCAGCTGCAGGCTCACATGGGATCTCAATGGCAGGGATCCTGGGGAACTCAGCTGCAGGAATCCTGGGGATCTCAACGGCAGGGATCCTGGGGAACTCAGCTGCAGGAATCCTGGGGATCCCTGTTGCAGGCTCCCAAGGGATCCCCAGTGTAGGACTCTTGGGGATCCCAGCTGCAGGAGTCCTGGGGATCCCAGCTGCAGGCTCCCAAGGGCTTTCGGGTACAGGTTTCCTGGGAATCACAGCTGCAGGAACCTCAGGGGTCTCTGAGGGCTTCCTGGGAATCTCAGCTCCAGACTTCCTGGAGGTCTCACCAACAGCAATTCCAGGAATCTCAGCAGCAGCAATTCCAGGGATCTCAGGAGCAGCAATTCCAGGAATCTCAGCAGCAGCAATTCCAGGGATCTCAGGAGCAGCAATTCCAGGGATCTCAGGAGCAGCAATTCCAGGGATCTCAGCAGCAGGCTCCCCCCCAGCCCCCTCAGCAGCATTCCCTCCGAACGCTGCCACGTTCCCGGGCTGGAATGGCTTCCCTGGCATCTCCTGGCTCGCCTCTCCTGGAGGAGCCGCGGCTCCGTCGCCAGGGACCGCTGGGACACTGTCACGTACGCCCAAGCCAGCGGCCTGCCCTGCCTTTGGGGGCTTGGTGGCCTTCGCCTTCGCGGGGCCCTGCGCCCCCGGCTCCTTCCCCCGCGGCTTTGGGGCATCGCCGCCGTCCGCGCCGGGGCCGGGCAGCGCCCGCTTGTTCTCCGCCGCCTCCTCGCTGCCCAGCCTCGCCAGCGCTGCCTTGGCCGCCTTGTCCTTCCCTCTGCCCTTCCGAGGGGACACCGGGGAGCCCGGAGGTGCCTTCCCGGCGGCAGCCGCCGCGGGGTCCCTGTCCCCCTCGGGGCCGCCGGCTCCGCGCTGCTTGCGGCTCTTCCTGGGCTGCGCCGGCACCTTGGGCCGCACCACGCCGGGGGATCCGCCCGGGGAGCTCGGCTCCGTGCCCGCCTTCTCCTCCTCCGGTGCCAGCCTGGGCCCCGCGCCCGGGGACGGGCTCGGGGGGTCCCCGGCGGGTCCCCGCAGCCCGGGCCCGGCGGGGGCAGCGCTTTTCCCGGCCGCTCCCTCCGCGGGGGCAGAGGCTGCTGGAGCCTCCGGCTGTGCCACCGTCGCCGGCCGTGCCGCCGCTCCCGGCTCTGCCGGCGGGGCTCGTCCCCCTGCCGCGTCCCCGCCGTGCTCGGGGGCTCCGGGGGGCTCCGCGGCCCGGCCGCCCCCGGCCGCCGCGTCCTGCCCGGGGCCGCCCTGCGCCGGCAGCCTCCGCTGGGCGCTGGGCATGGCAGCGGCCGCCGGGCACGGGAACGTGCCCGCCGAGCCCCGCTCCGCTTCGTCCTCGCTGCCCGCCAGCGGCGCCGAGCCGTGCCCGCGCTCGCCGGTGTCGCCGGTGTCCCCGCGAGGGGCCGGGCCGGCCGTGCCCGGCGCTGGCTCGGTGCCCGGCCGCGCTGCGGGCACGCCGGCCGTGCCGCGGGGACGGTCCCGGCCCCGGCCGTCCCCGGGCTCAATGTCACTGAGGCTCTGCTCCTCGGCCGTGGCCAGCGAGGCCGGCGCCAGGCTGCACTCCTCGGACGCCCGCAGGAACTCGGCCCACTCGCGGTCGTTCAGCTGGATGCTGTACTCGAAGTTATCCATGCCTGCGCAGGGGAGCGGCCGCGCGTCAGGCAGGGCTGCGTGCCCCCGGCCCTTCCTCCCACGTCCTCCCTTCCATCTGCTCATCCTCGCCCGTTTCCAGCTGGAAATCCCGGCCCCTGGAGACCTCAGCAGGAGCATGAGCCAGCCAGCAGTGGGAGAAGCCACTGCCACACCTCCGGTCCCCGCTGCCTCTGCTCCCCAGAGCTGCACAGGGGCTTTGGGATTGTCCCCAGGGCTGCACTGGGGCTTTGGGATTGTCCCCAGAGCTGCACAAAGACTTTGGGATTGTCCCCAGAGCTGCACTGGGGCTTTGGGATTGTCCCAGAGCTGCACTGGGGCTTTGGGATTGTCCCCAGAGCTGCACTGGGGCTTTGGGATTGTCCCAGGGCTGCACTGGGGCTTTGGGATTGTCCCCAGGGCTGCACAGGGGCTTTGGGATTGTCCCCAGAGCTGCACAGGGGCTTTGGGATTGTCCCAGGGCTGCACTGGGGCTTTGGGATTGTCCCCACAGCTGCACAGAGGCTTTGGGATTGTCCCAGGGCTGCACTGGGGCTNCCAGGGCTGCACTGGGGCTTTGGGATTGTCCCCACAGCTGCACAGAGGCTTTGGGATTGTCCCAGGGCTGCACTGGGGCTTTGGGATTGTCCCCAGGGCTGCACTGGGGCTTTGGGGTGCTCCCCAGAGCTGCAAAGGTTTGGGATTCTCTCCACAGCAGCATCACACCCCACACCCCCCTTTCCTACCCGTTTTGCCTACAAGCCCCCCTAAACCCGGCGGGGATGTCCCGAGCGTCCCCAAGCCCCGAGCACCCCGAGCCCGCCCAGCCTGGCAGCAGCACAGCCCGGGGCATGCGGCAGCGGGAGCAGCGGGAGGGGACAAAGGCCCGGGAGGTGACAAAGGCCCGGGAGGTGACAAAGGCCGTCCTACCTGTCCCCCAGCCCCGGGCGGGGATGGAGCCATTCGCGCAGCCCCGCAGGAGAGCCCTCCCAGCACAACATGATGCCGTCCCCTGGCCGGGGGCAGAGCCCGGCTCCGGCTCAGATCCATTCAGGGGCTAAAAATAGTCCCCCCGTCCCTCCCCGCTGTCACTTGAGATCCCGGTGCCACCGGCCGGAGAGGGCAGCCCATATATAGAACTGCGGGGGACGTGCCAGGGTGGCACCCACGTGTGACTGCGCCACAGCCGCGACCGGGGGCACCGGGACCACCCCTGGTGGCCCTGCTCCCTTCTGGGGTCACTCCACGGGGAAGGGGACAGGCCACGGGGCTGCCAGCCTTCGGCACCCCTGGCTGGCGGTGTCTGTCCTTTCCGCCGCTCCTCTGCCTCAGCCACCCTCTCCAGGGTGACACAAAATCCCCTCGGGGCAGGGTTCACCTATTTAGGGCACTGCCGGCGCATTTCCTGCCGGCCTGCCCGGGGCGGTGGCATCAGGAGGTCACGGCCAGCTCCACAACCTTGTGACAAACCTGGCTGGCCCGGTGGCACCCAGGGCCACCCGCGCCTCGTGCTGCGGGAGCCGTGGGCAGGGGCTCGGGGGGAGCTGGCAGGGGGAGCGGCCAAGGGTGGCCCGGCAGGTCACGAAGCCGAGCCAGAAATAACCCTCAGCTCCCACGAGCCCCGAGCCTTCCTCCCACCTTCCTCCTCCTCCCCGTCCCAGGAATAGCAGCGCTGAGGGAGCTGCCTGCGGGACGGGGCTGGGAGAGCGAGCCCCGGACCGGCCCCGCTGCCCCAGCACGGCCCCGAGGCTCCGGCCGCCCCCCGGCACCGGGACACGGCGGCGGGACACGGCCGTGACGGGGCTGGGACACTGCGGGAGCGGAGAGGGACCCCCGGGCTCTGCACCCCGGGGTGCCACAAGGGCTGGGACCCCTGCATCCCCCGGGGTGCCACAAGGGCTGGGATCCCTGCATCCCCCGGGGTGCCACAAGGGCTGGGA